GCTTTAGAATCCAAATTCATTAGTTTAGTGTTTATTTCTCTCTGTCTAATTCCTGTTTCCTCTAAAAAATACAGGGCTTCCCTCAGCAATATAGGCACAGACCTGAGTTTGTGATTTTATAAAATAGATTTTGTATTAAATCATGAATCAGTATTATGGTATCAGCTTATTGTACCATTTCCAGCAATGTTTGTTATTCTGTAAAAGCAGTGTCCAAGGTTGTTGATTAGTTCAGTTGAATCAGAGATTTTTTTCAGACCTGGCGAATCACAAAACATAAATTTAGCCTTTCACCTCTGTCTGTGCAACTAGCTTGTTATACTGCGCTACAGTCTATGTTGGAGCTACATAAGTGACAATGAGAAGCGGAATCTTTCTCTATCATTTAGCGATTGTCCCAAACATTACAACTTGGCTGTCAACCCACCACAACTACTTGCCAAGTGAATGCACCCCTCACTGCATGTTATAACCGCTTTTCATTGTTTCTGTTTTTGTCTGATTATAAAACAGAATACACATATTTATTCATTGTGCTTTATTTGTGAGACGCTGTAATTAACCTTGGCCTTATTAAACCAAAAAAAACAAAAATAAAAACACTTTTCTGTTCGACATTAACCCCTTAAGGACCAAACTTCTGGAATAAAAGTGAATCATGACATGTCACACATGTCATGTGTCCTTAAGGGGTTAAAGACATGCAGCAATCGGTGATCAGAGTCTCCTGCTTCTCAAGAGCGACAGTCAGATCTGCTCTGGCGTGCGGCCATATCTCAAATCAACCCAATTTGCATTAATTCATAGCAATTGCCACGGGCACGTTTGGCACATAAAAGTCGTGGCTGGGAGCCACAGTTAGTTCAGTTCAAGTGATATTTGAGCCAGCATCAAAACGTATGCTAAGATTGCAATAAAACGCTCTATGAATAAAGGGACAGCATTCTCATGGAGATTCTATATATATAGAGAGAGAGAGAGAGAGACGCAGACAGACAGAGAGGCTGACAGACAGACAGATAGAGAGACAGACAGAGACAGAAAGATGCACAGACAGAGACAGACACAGAGAGAGAGACAGACAGAGAGAGAAAGACAAAGACAGACAGACGGACAGAGAGAGAGACAGAGAGAGAAAGAGAGACAGACAGAGACAGAAAGAAGCACAGACAGACACAGAGAGAAAGACAGACAGAGAGAGAAAGACAAAGACAGACAGACGGACAGAGAGAGAGACAGAGAGAGAAAGAGCGACAGACAGAGACAGAAAGATGCACAGACAGAGACAGACAGAGAGAGACAGACAGAGAGAGACAGACAGAGAGAGAAAGACAAAGACAGACAGACAGACGGACAGAGAGAGAGACAGAGAGAGAAAGAGAGACAGACAGACGGACAGAGATGATCATGGGGCTTTATCAAATCTAGATCAAATCTGGATGTCCTCTTCTCTTTTTGTATCAGTGCGTCTAGTTTTATCACCGCTGTTCTTTTTGCATAAATTGTAAAGTGCTCGGGATAAGAGAGCCATTAGACCTGTATAATACATTTTAAATACATAATATCAGTATTTTTTTTAGGCAATGTATCTATAGAAAGAGAGAGGTGATTTCTGAAATAAATGAACGTATAATAATATATTTTACATTTTTTGTGGTATATATGTAGCGACATTCCCTATGCAGCCTAGTGTGTCCCTTTAAGTTACTTTTCCCATGATCCCTCACTGTCTATCCATGCACAATTACTGTACACATCCCATCCATATGGATAACATGTAGCCACCGGTTATGGCTGTAAATGTGTGTTATGGCGCAGTGAGTGTAATTAATTAACTCCAGCATAGTTAAATTCACACTCTGTTTGTTGCATTGTTTGTCCTAATTTCTCCCTCTATCTGTTCTCCAGATCCTTTCCAGTAAATGGCGCCCACAGTATGGCGGCAAGATCGCCATATGTTAATTTACACTTAAAGCGTGGCGCTATTATGCGTTCCCTAGGTTAAGCACCAGATAACGCCACACTAACACGCTTACAACCAGATTATTTCATGGTAGAATATTTTATACTAAATAAATTTGAATTCCCCACCATCTTTGCGCCAATAGCACGCCTGGTCCTCCCAGTATAGATAAGATAGGCCCCCGTCGTGCTACGTGATTTACACGTAAATACCATACGGAACCTTTCGATCCTAAAATACCACTGTTTTCTTATTGTAGACGCCTTTGTGTTGTGTTTTTTAGATCCCCCTAGTTTTTGCTGAGGAATTACCGGCATGCATAGTGTGAATACCCTCACCCCCTGGGTTCTGATAGAAGATGCTGAGAACGTAACAATGCTTTGGGAGAGACAATAGATCTTCCTGCTTATAAAACAAAATGAAGATTCCAATAGGGTTTGCGATAAAACAAAGCCAGTTATAAGAGCAGAGTCATTATCTTTCATCGGAGTTGGACTGAGTGTGATTTTGTGGCTGCCAGGCCTGGCATGTGCTAAATAAGAATAGATAAGTGAAACATCAAGGGTCCCCGGAATGTCCCGGGGGGGCGATTCTCTTCTCAACAAAACATTATCCCTAATTTGTTTAAATGCATGTGACGTACATTAGTCTCAAACTCGACTATGTGAAGATATGCTAATATACAATACTTACAACAGTGAATCACTAAACGATAAAGATTCCTCTTCTTATTGTTACTTATGTAGCTCCAACATAGAGTGTAGCGCAGTGAAATAGCAAGCAAGTTGCATAGACAGGGATGAAAGGCTATATTTATATTTTGTTTCTTAGTATTAAAGTGATGCGGTACATTGTTTATTTAATGAAATATTGGGTATAAATCATCACTAGCCAACAATGCACAATCTCCCAGATCATGAATCGTGAATATTATAAAATGCGTGATCACTTTAAACTGGCTTGTCCATTGTACCCATCTGTTTAACACATAGAGACAACATTGGGAAGGTCCAACTCAACACCTACAATCTAAAGGCAATAGGACGTTTTGATGTACTTGGTATGTTTAATTAGATTTCATAGAGTTCCAACATATTCTGTAGCGCTGTACAATGGGCATCCAAAAAAGGAAACAATCCATTTTATGGGGAGTCATTGATTTGCCTGGTATGTCCAGGGGCTGCTACGGCATGTCCTTATTTAAACATTCCAAATAGCCGTCCCCGCTATAGTAATCACCATTACATCAAAGAGCAGAAAAACACTAACACGTTAAAGCAACTTTGGTATTTTGACGCAGAATTCGTTTTAATTAATTGTTTACCACTGCATCTTGCAGCGCGTGTCGGATATAGTGTATCCGTTAGAAAGGCTACAGATTTCATTCACAGTTATTTAATAGAATACTTTATAAAATAGGAGTAGAGCAATGTATCTGCTTCCTAGAACAGCGAGTGTCACTCACAGCATAACAAGTGAGTAATTTGAAGTGTACACAGAGTCTCTGATTTTGGTAATTGTTTAGTAAAAGGCTCTGAATACAGTGATCACAAACAGATTGTCTGAACAAACACACTGGGATAAGATAACAAAGGCTGAAAGGTGGCATTGACAGGAAACAGTACCAAGGGTCATGTTACTGATAGACATGTGAAACGTCCCCAAACCCTGTGTGTTCACAGACTGGGCCCAGTCTGAGGGCAGATGGCAGAACAAATACAAAAAGTCTATGACACAGCGGAAAGACATGCCTTATCGCCCCGAGATGTGTGATCTATGTATCTATAGGCTTTTTGGAGAAGATTTGTTAAAGATCTCCCAAAGTCTGCAGATTCGCAGGGCGTTTGTTTGCTTTTGTCTCTGGTTTCTGATAAATTTGATGTTTTGAAACAAAAATAACAGAAACCTCAGGAAGTGCCTGAAAGTTTAATTTCAAACATGTCGTCATTTACAACAGAGATCCATAAACAAATTAGTACTAAATTAGGAAAAAGATCAACTTTAAAATCACCCCCAAATACAATCTCTCTTAATGGACCAACACCAGAATAAGTCCGTGGTAACGAACGAGTCTTTGTTATAATCGAATGTCCCACTATTAACGCTGGTCTGTATAGAGAAAACAAGGACATCCCGTGTTAGGGTAGGGTGGTAACAGAGTGACATGTCATGGCTCCTTCAATAGATTTATAAAATGTGTCTAGTGAGGTCTCTTTAGAAGGGATACTCTTATTATTATGCCTTGTTTCCACTGAGCGGTATGGTTCGGGTCGGTACGGAAGGGTTAGAATGGTCCAGCCTAGTCAGGGGAGTGTTTCCACTGCAAGTCGGACCATCAGGGGGCATGCGGGGTTTAGACCAAATGCCTAGCGTGTCATTTGTTGTGAGCATTGACGTTTTCCTGTCTGCCAATCAATGGATTGTATAGTGTGACGCCAGTAGCTCCGCCCTAACCGTACCAAACCATTTCCTATGAACCTACATCTAAAGGGGGCCCAGGAATGGTGCAGTTTGGTTCGGTTGTATGGGCCACTTTCATAATGAAAACACTCAAAATAGCGTACCGACAGACCGTACCGACCCAAACCAAACTGCTCAGTGGAAACGGGGCATAAGCACCTGAACCAGTACAGCTCATTGTATTATTACAGCTCATTGTATTATTACAGCTCATTGTATTATTAAATCTTAATGTATTCTTAGAGCTTATCGTATTTATAGCATATTAATGTTTTGTTACAGCTCATTCTATTATTGCAGTTTATGGCACTTTTACAGCTTATTGCATGATTGGAGCTTTTTGCATTATTACAGCTTATAGTATTGGTCATAGCGCTCAGAGTGTTTGGTTGCAGACTCTCCATTTTTGTCAAACTGTTCTTGAGCAGATTTACAAAACTATGGCTGTCTTGGTATCCAGATCTGGCCCCTCTGTGTCTTGGATAGAGTCGTTGTTTTAAGTCGATAAGTCTAAATTTGGTTGCCGGTGACAGACTGTAAGTACTGAGGGCCCCTTACATACACTCCGTGAGAGGAGGAATGGGGCATGCTGGGTATTTAATGCTCGGTGAGTGACACTCCGTGAGAGGAGGAATGGGGCATGCTGGGTATTTAATGCTCGGTGAGTGACACTCAGTGAAAGGAGGAATGGGGCATGCTGGGTATTTAATGCTCGGTGAGTGACACTCCGTGAGAGGAGGAATGGGGCATGCTGGGTATTTAATACTCGGTGAGTGACACTCAGTGAGAGGAGGAATGGGGCATGCTGGGTATTTAATGCTCGGTGAGTGACACTCCGTGAGAGGAGGAATGGGGCATGCTGGGTATTTAATACTCGGTGAGTGACACTCAGTGAAAGGAGGAATGGGGCATGCTGGGTATTTAATGCTCGGTGAGTGACACTCCGTGAGAGGAGGAATGGGGCATGCTGGGTATTTAATGCTCGGTGAGTGACACTCAGTGAGAGGAGGAATGGGGCATGCTGGGTATTTAATGCTCGGTGAATGACACTCAGTGAGAGGAGGAATGGGGCATGCTGGGTATTTAATGCTCGGTGAATGACACTCAGTGAGAGGAGGAATGGGGCATGCTGGGTATTTAATGCTCGGTGAGTGACACTCAGTGAGAGGAGGAATGGGGCATGCTGGGTATTTAATGCTCGGTGAGTGACACTCAGTGAGAGGAGGAATGGGGCATGCTGGGTATTTAATGCTCGGTGAGTGACACTCAGTGAGAGGAGGAATGGGGCATGCTGGGTATTTAATGCTCGGTGAGTGACACTCAGTGAGAGGAGGAATGGGGCATGCTGGGTATTTAATGCTCGGTGAGTGACACTCAGTGAGAGGAGGAATGGGGCATGCTGGGTATTTAATGCTCGGTGAGTGACACTCAGTGAGAGGAGGAATGGGGCATGCTGGGTATTTAATGCTCGGTGAGTGACACTCAGTGAGAGGAGGAATGGGGCATGCTGGGTATTTAATGCTCGGTGAGTGACACTCAGTGAGAGGAGGAATGGGGCATGCTGGGTATTTAATACTCGGTGAGTGACACTCCGTGAGAGGAGGAATGGGGCATGCTGGGTATTTAATACTCGGTGAGTGACACTCAGTGAGAGGAGGAATGGGGCATGCTGGGTATTTAATGCTCGGTGAGTGACACTCAGTGAGAGGAGGAATGGGGCATGCTGGGTATTTAATGCTCGGTGAGTGACACTCAGTGAGAGGAGGAATGGGGCATGCTGGGTATTTAATGCTCGGTGAGTGACACTCCGTGAGAGGAGGAATGGGGCATGCTGGGTATTTAATACTCTGTGCAAGGCTAGCCTTCTGCTCTAAGAGGCAAGTACGGAAAATGAAAATAAAATTTCATGACAACCAATAAAGTATCATAAGATAATTAATAGAGCTGTTTTATAGTCTAATTATTCTAATTACTACTGCCTTTAATAACGGGTCATTATCATTGTCTTTAATCATGCTTATCACTGCCTTGTTCTCAGTCTTTATGTAAACTTTTAGCGAATGTAGAGCGTTATTTACTAGGGATTCATTATTTTATTTATTAAGTGTGGCTCATGTGTTGGGTTATCAGAGCAAATCATCATAATGGCTAGTTATAGCCCGCCGGCCATTAGCAGCAATCTAACAGGGAACAAAGCTGCCAATGAGCTGCTAACTGCCAGCTGGGCTCCCCAGAGTGTGGGTAAGTAGGATTTGTGGGGAACTCAGTTTAGGGTGCCTGCACTTTAGAAAGTGTGGGGTGTTACCCCCATCATTCATAGCCACTGGAGTTATAGTCCCCACCATGGCCAGTGTCAGCAAGGTTTAGGGGTACACCACAGCATCCCACTATGCAATGACATCCCATTTATTAAAGGAGCTGAGACAGAGCCATCTATAATGCCATGCAGTCGTTTTAACTCACCAATTTAATGGCTGACTTTTAAAAATAAATATATTTAATAAGCTGCAAATTGTGTCAAACAGGAATCTGTAACATTCAGACACATATAACTAATCTCCAAACTGGACACTTTTTTCAACTGAGAAATATGAATTGTAATTCATTCAAATCCCTAGTTTGTAAATAAACCCCTTAAATGAAAAACCTCTGTTTCTTTGTATAAATATCTCAAACAAGCATTTCTGCACACGTTTAAAATATAGGGACAAAAGGCTGAGACAAAAAGGTTTGATGTTTTCACGCCCCCCATTTTCCTGGGTAAATAAAGGGACAAGTTGACAAAGCAGAGCCCCATCTTTCTTGGCCATTAGCTGCAAAGCTTGGTCTGTGAGCTCATTAGCCAGAACACATCACTTCCTACTTTGTTTTAGAGAAATTCAGAGGATTAATGATGGTGTTTTAAAGGGATAGCAATTCAAGCAGGATTGGCAGAAAAATAAAAGATGTTGTGAGCAGTTAATTCTCCGTGACTGATTTATAATGTGTCAGCATACTTCTTTGATGTCTCAGCATATGGATTTGCTGGCTCTTTTATCAATGGCTGTCACCTTTCAATACAAGGGCCCAGCAGGTAGAACTGGACCACAACTGAGCTTCTCGACTATTGCCCCAGCAACGGGGCCTTCAAGAATGAGTCGCATTCTCTGCATTCAAGCATTCAAAGGGCCAGCAATATCTGCGTGGATATACGTTATGTCCATCTACACCCATACAAGCCACAGGATCCAGAGAAATGTCTGCTTTCAAAATCTTTCCTTTTTTAAACGTTCGGTCAGCCATGCAGTTTATTTTTATTTATTTTTGGCAAAGTGGTCGATTTTTTTTTTTTTTTATGCAGACATTTACTTTGTCTGTTAAAATGAATCTAAAAAATAATTAAGCAAAAAATAAATTCATAAATGAATAACATTTTAAAATAAATTAGTATTTTACTAATATATTTTTAATATAATCTATATTTAGGAAGTTATTGCCTATTTGAAGGTAAAATTCAATAAAATGGTCCAAAACGTTAACACAAAATTAGAATGGCTTAGTCTATACAAATGTGGGTGCTAGAAGCAAATAAAGTTCCTGATTGTCGGCTGAGTGTGAACTAAACTCCTGTACTGCGGAAATGGTTTGTTTTGGGAGAAAAATAAAAATGTTTTCAGGAAGGCTTTATTTTGCCCATATCTATCATGGTTAAGCTCGGCCAAATGATGGAGTAAGATTTTGGAGGACGATTCAGAAGAACCAAAAGGAGCGAAAATGGGCCAAATAGTATACAGCATATATACTGTGAAGAAATACCCCATTACGTTTGGCTCTTTCTGTTCGTCTGTATTCATGTCCCAGTTTTGTTTCGTTTATTTTGTTCGGTTCCCGAACCGAGACCATCCCAGAGACCCATTAGAACGTGGAACGTTATGTATCTTGTACGAAAACCGCAAAGGAAATAATTAATAAAATGCGCCACTGGATGGCCATCGAAAGCTGGCAGCGGGACTTGGCCGTCGAGTGTCTGGACCTCATTTCAGCCAGGCAAACCTGCGAACACCCGTCACCATGGACCGTCAGCCTGTTCCAGTTCCAGTTCACCTAGACAAATGGCGCTCGGGAGTTACAGACTACTGAACACAGGGAGCATTCTACATTAACCAGCTTTCCTATACCTTCTGTGGTTTTCGTACAAAACCCCACAAATGGAGACCAGCTCTTGCCACAATTTCCATGGAACTATTTTCGGCTTCTACCTTGTGGCAGACCGGTCAGAACTTCCCTGCGATGACAATACAAAACTACTAATAAGATCTGGGTGACTTTTGGATATATTGCTCACTCTGATCCAGGCTATCCATGGATGTTCCCATGTATTTTGGGGGTATTTTTAGTTTTTCTGTGCCTGGAGATAATTGAGTTTAGTACAGTTTATGACTCAATTATCTCACAGGCACAGAGGAGGAGTTTGCTGACTGCTAAAATTTGATGTCTGTACTGCCAATAAACAGTCGTCTCCCAGCATTAAGCCTTGGCTCATGTTTGGGGGGATTATGTGATATCTTGTGATATTAGACCTCTTGTATTATTGGTGTGTTATTATGGGAAAAGGGCATCCGTGGCGATGATACTTTGATAGAGCCCACATATACATAATATAAATATCATAATATCATGTAAATAGTATTAGTATAATATAGTGTAAATAGTATTATAATAACATTGTGTAAATAGTATTATAATAACATCATGTAAATAGTATTAGTATAATATTGTGTAAATAGTATTATTATAATATTGTGCACTCTAATAAGTGATGTCGCGAACCGTTCGCGAACTTGCCGCGAACGGTTCGCCACGGATCGTTCGCGGCGAACTCCGGTCAGCTGACACATCCCTGCCAATCTCCGGCAGACCCTCCCTCCCAGACCCTCCCACCTCCTGGGCAGCATCCATGTTGACGCTGCCTTCAACATGGATGCTGTCCAGGAATTAGGTGGGTCTGGGAGGCAGGGTCTGCCGGAGATTGGCAGGGATGTGTCAGCTGACCGGAGTTCGCCACAAACGGTTCGCAGCAAGTTCGCGAACGATTCGCGACATCACTAACTCTAAATAGTATTATAATAATATTGTGTAAATTGTATTATAATATTATCATGTAAATTGTATTATAACATCATGTGAATAGTATTATTATAATATTGTGTCAATAGTATTATTATAATATTGTGTAAATAGTATTATTATAATATCGTGCCAATGTGCGTCTTATTTGGTTCAGGATTCACCTACATTTCGTCTCGGAGTTAAGGATTTAGAATGATCACCCAATTGGCCCAAGTTTGGACACCCCTCTCACTCTGCCAAACTAACTCTATAACACTCACCTCTCACCTTAACACAGTAACTCTGTAACACTCACCTCTCAACCCTCTCACCCTGCCACAGTAACTCTGTAACACTCACCTCTCACCCTACCACACTAACGCAGTAACACTCACCTCTCAACTCTCTCACCCTGCCACACTAACTCTGTAACACTCAACCCTCTCACCCTGCCACACTAACTCTGTAGCACTCACCTCTCAACCCTCTCACCCTGCCACACTAACTCTGTAACAATCAACCGTCAACCCTCTCACCCTGCCACACTAACTCTGGAACACTCACCTCTCAACCCTTTCACCCTGCCGCACTAACTCTGGAACACTCACCCCTCAACCCTCTCACCCTGCCACACTAACTCTGGAACACTCACCTCTCAACCCTCTCACGTTCACCACCCTGCCACACACCAAGTCACCCTTACCCCCGACCCTCCCACACACCAAGTCACCCTTACCCCCCGACCCTCCCACACACCAAGTCACCCTTATTCCCTCACCTTGCCACACACCAAATCACGTTTACCCCCTCAATCTGACACACACCAAGTTACCCTTACCCACTCACCCTGCCACACACCAAATCACCATTACCCCCTCACCCTGCCACACACCAAGTCACCCTTACCCCCGACCCTCCCACACACCAAGTCACCCTTACCCCCCGACCCTCCCACACACCAAGTCACCCTTATTCCCTCACCTTGCCACACACCAAATCACATTTACCCCCTCAATCTGCCACACACCAAATCATCATTACCCACTCACCCTGCCACACACAAAATCACCCTTACCCCCTCACCCTCCCACACACCAAATCACCCTTACCCCTTAACCCTCATTGTCATTGAGCTACATTGGGAAATCTGTGATTTAAACATAGAATGTGACGGCAGATAAGAACCATTCGGCCCATCTAGTCTGCCCAATTTTCTAAATACTTTCATTAGTCCCTGGCCTTATCTTATAGTTAGGATAGCCTTATGTCTATCCCACGCATGCTTAAACTCCTTTACTGTGTTAACCTCTACCACTTCAGCTGGAAGGCTATTCCATGTATCCACTACCTTCTCAGTAAAGTAATAAATCTATGTTTCCATTTACTAAATAGTGATTTTTATTTGTTTTGCATTTAGGCAGTGGAGTTTCCCTTTAAGTGAGGAACATGGTATATAATTTCAGATAAAGGCAGGCACGTAGAGGGGATTATAGGAATCAGAGATAGAATATGGCAGGACGTAAACAGCTTATCTCAGCTGAAACGCCAAATGAGCTTCAGGCTGTTCATACGTATCATATTATAAGCAGTGGGATGTATTCAACTCTAAATGGTCGATAAGGCAAAATGATCTGCTCCAAACCATGTCTCCATCCACCGTAACAACCTGGGTGGCACAGGCCTCCATTCCTTAAATTCCAAGCCAAGTAAAATGGTACCAGTCACGTGCACGCTGGCTTTCTTTGTGCCTGGGTATAACCAGGGCCGGACTTTTTTAATCACAGTAGTCCAGTAACAAGGGGGCAGAACCAGAGGGGACATTGCCAATCCTGATGGTCCTGTGGTACTGAACGAACTCTAGCCTGCAGCTCCGTTTACTAGGTCAGCACAGTCAGAGCATTGGTGTGTTAACCACGGCAATGCTGTCAGCTCACAAGATGAATATTCCCAGTCGGAGCTGTACACTAGGGCACTCCAATTAATCTGAATATAACAGAGCTTCACAGCAATAATACTCCCAGTAATGTGTCTGAGTGTATAACAGAGCTCCACAGCAATAATACTCCCAGTAATGTGTCTGAGTGTATAACAGAGCTCCACAGCAATAATACTCCCAGTAATGTGTCTGAGTGTATAACAGAGCTCCACAGCAATAATACTCCCAGTAATGTGTCTGAGTGTATAACAGAGCTCCACAGCAATAATACTCCCAGTAATGTGTCTGAGTGTATAACAGAGCTCCACAGCAATAATACTCCCAGTAATGTGTGAGTGTATAACAGAGCTCCACAGCAATAATACTCCCAGTAATGTGTCTGAGTGTATAACAGAGCTCCACAGCAATAATACTCCCAGTAATGTGTCTGAGTGTATAACAGAGCTCCACAGCAATAATACTCCCAGTAATGTGTCTGAGTGTATAACAGAGCTCCACAGCAGTAATGTGTCTGAGTGTATAACAGAGCTCCACAGCAATAATACTCCCAGTAATGTGTCTGAGTGTATAACAGAGCTCCACAGCAATAATACTCCCAGTAATGTGTCTGAGTGTATAACAGAGCTCCACAGTAATAATACTCCCAGTAATGTTTCTGAGTGTATAACAGAGCCCTGCAGCAATAATACTCCCAGTAATGTAACTTTAGGCTACAATAAGTCTCTCCTCTCTGAATTTAAGTGTCTGTGGGCCAGTGAGGGAGATATTTGATCTCTCCAACGGCCCGTCATGGCAAATGGCAAGGCTATGCTTTCAGTTGGCTACTCTGGCCTTAAATTTGAAATGTATTTTGAACTCCCACTGTAGTGAGTAACCGTGTTTGTGACTGTATAGGGTGTCTAAAGGCTACACTGCAGCCATGCTGGGCTTTTGGAACAGAAAGACAAGTAATAATAATAATAATAATAATAATAAAAAAAAAAAAAAGAACTTTCACAGCCGAGTGTTTCATTAGCAGTATGAGTGTGGGCGACTGACGGCTGGGCGTGATCTGAGTGATCTGACACATATAAACACTTTGCTGAGAATTCATGTTAAATATTGATTTTAGCTGAGCAAATACCTACCTTCACTCCCCACACACTGTTCTAACAACAAACAGGACTGTGTTACCCACTCAGCCTCCCAAATGGAAAGCAAAGTCTCACCATCTGGATACAACGACATCTGAAGAAACATTGAGATGTGAAAAAATTATCCCAAAAAAATGGGAGCAGCGTCTGTGCTCCTGCCACAAATCAACCCTTTAGATAATGAGAGTTAAAGGGAAATTGGACTCTGTCAGAGCTACTCACTAAAGCAGGAATTGTGCTCTAATCATGATACACACATGATGAATAGCGTGAGCAAACATAAGAGAATTACAAAAATAAACGACATTCCACGTGAATTTCCTGCACTGGTTCTGCAATAAGCCCTGCTCAGACCCAGGACAGATTCAGCCAATCGTGTTCACATCCATTTCTATAGCACTGCTGGGCCTGTACGTTATGGACACAGTAAGGGATTGTGGGAGTGGTAGTAGAATTATCAGATTTCTTCCTGGAGTGCTCCTTTAAATGGCACATCTTGTGCTTTTTAGGGGTTAATTCACACAGGTGTCTTTCATTTTCTGCCAAATAATAAACATTGTTTCCATTCTGTAGAAGAGGTTATATGACACAGTCGCAGGCGTTTGCCCAAATTGTAGCAGGTTTTCTTCAATTATACGGCGTGCGTAGCTTGCAGTTCTGAGAAGGAAAGCGCATTAGAATTTTATTGCATTATTGTTACAATCTTCTGTTTCACGAGCAAGAAAATATAGCCGCTGTGACAGATACCATAAAGGAAGATACATATCTCGCATTTAAAAAAAAGCCATCTTTTAATACTCAGCTGTTAAAGCCAGAGCTCGGAGTGATATTTCTGTTAGCATTGCGGGCAGGCCTCGCTGTTACTACCTCACTAATATTCTCACGCAATGATTTGCTGGTCTCTTTGGCACACAGAGAGTTAATCGGAGTAAAGACTAACTGAATGGCTGTGTAGAGCCTCCCAGACACTGCGAAGTGTACAGAGCAATCGACAGGCAGATGGCGAGAAGAAGTTAGCAAGTAAATGTCGCTCGCTGTCCA